CTTGCTAACATTCTGTATTTACAGTATTCTGAATAGTGCTTAAACCTGTACTGATTGTAAAAAAAGTCACTCCCCTCACATTGCCTCCCAGCCCAGGCTGACAGCTCGCTTAGTTCTCTCATTTACACCACACTGCAGTAACATAAAGAAGGGTTTACTATTAATCCAGGTTTTACTACAAAGCGGCCCGTTATTTCTCTGTCAAACACTGGCAAGAGTGCCAAATGTCTGTCATCCAATTCAGAGGATTAAGTCTTCTTTTATAGTCTGATACATGTACCAATTTATAAAAATACAGATATAGTTTCTTAGAGTTGGTCACAGTCTATATTTTGGCTTGGATTCAGGCAGCAGAGGTTGACTATGACAGCTGGCAGGAAACTGAGGGGAGAATACATCCTCCCCCTCAGTGACCACATTTCAGTTGCCATAGTGATTAATCCGTAATTGAATGCTGTCTTTGTACATTTCTTTTCAAAAAACTTTAAGTAAACTTAAGTTGAAAACATACAGTTGATTGAAAAAAAGGGGTACCACATCACAAATAGGTATAGTTAAATTTTGTGACATACTTCCACATATTAAAAGAACAAATTAACCCTAATAAAGGTATTATCAGTTCCTTCAAATTCTTAAAACATTTCTTTGTGGTCCAAGACCTAACTCATATACCTTTTCCCTCCAGATATCATATCTTTTAAAACAAGCTATTTTCAAACAAGGTTTTGCAATATCCAAGTACAATGTAAAGTAAAACATGTTCTTACTGTGCACATTACTTTATATAGTTTGTGTTATAAAATAACAAAGGTGTAATTAGCAATTAATTTTAGATGGGCTTTAGTTTAGGACATCTATAAAATATTCTACAAATAGGAATTAACTCATAAAAATAGAAAATATAAGAAACCAAATGAGACATGAAAAAAATAGTACATATTAGGCCTTTCCTAAATACATGGATGAATTTGAAATGCAGATTCCTAGTTTTTGCCGTTCTGCTTATCAAAAATTTTATCAAAAAGATTCAGAGGTGGGCAGAGGAACCACTGAACTAAAGCCCATTTGCCCATCAGTTGGAAACTGGATAAAGAAGATGTGGTTTTTCTATAAAATGGAATACTACTCAGCCATAGAGAATGAGAAATTAGATATATTCATAGGAAAATGGATATATATTGAGGATATACTCCTAAGTTAAATAAATAAGTCACACGTGTAAATACTGAATAGTTTCTCTAGTGTCAAAAACTATAATAGTACATAAGATCCTAATGATATAACTGACAATGTGAAATAGGAAGAAAAGGGCTAAAGGTGTAAGGAAAGTGGGAAGGGTGGGGAAAGATATTAAGGGAAAAGAAAAAAATATGACAAAATGAAAAAAATGGAAATAAAGTGCTTGTAAATGGGGAGGGGAGGAGGGGGTGAAGGGAGGGCAAGGACAAGGGGAAAAAATGAGAACCAAGAACTGTTGTGTAAAGGTACAAGATCCCAATAATGAATGTAACTGTACTGTATACCTAAAATGTACCAATAAACTCAATGAGAGAAAAAAAAAGATTGAGAAACTCTTAAAAGATCATAAGATTTTATCTGTGGTGTCCTTTACTTCTCTTTTGCAGGTTTTCTAGTTAGCACGCATATTGTCTTGTGAGCTCATTAAAGGCTCTAACTTAGACTCATCTACACTACACATCAAAAGGTGAATTACTGGCATGCAGTATTCACTGTTACTTATGTGTTGGCTTCACATACATGTATGTGTACAGGAGTCACCTGGTGTTCCTGAAAAGGCTGTCAATACAAACAGGCCCGTGTGTTCATATGCATACACACTGTTTTCAAACCCAGGTAAAGTTCTTCAATGAAACATGGATGACAGACATGAAGCACCCAGAAGAATTCTCAGTAATCAGAAAGATTCTGGATTTGAGCCCCAGATGAAAGATACTATACTGTAAGCAGGTGGTCTGAGGTTTTTTTTTAGGAGATTTTAAGCACAAGAGATTTATCTTCTAACATTATGACTGATATCCTTTGTTCTTGATTCATATCTTTTGTCCTTTATTTTGTTATTGTCTCATAACAATTTTTTGAAAGTTTTCAAGACTTCAAATTCACTATTGCCACCTGCCTTCACACTATAGGTTGCAAAACCTCTCAATGAGTGACATAAGTATCTCTAACCAAAGTTGGTGGTATTTCAGTGATTTCTTCCTTAAAGGTGCTGAAGTAATATTGCCCAGATATGATGAAATTAGTGGCTGTGATCACTTTATTTGGCTCAGAAGATCCTTAGGATGTTTTATGAAATGTTGGAAAGGAATTTTACTCTACTGAAGTGAGTGTTCTTACCCAGACTGCTCTTGGCCTGCTAGCATGGGTGGCATGGGACTGAATCTCCCCCTTAGTGGCTTTAAAATTTCTTTGAACTTTTATACCCACCATAATTTATTCAGTAAACAACAAACTTCTTGATATTCCCTAAACTGGATATACAAAGTTGGTGCACGCATGGTGAGGGAGACACATTAGAGGACACATTAGAGACCTCGGGAGGCAGCTAGTCCAATTTTTTCTTGCTATGAAATTGTCCCTCATTCTGAAAATCACTGTGGAGAGACAAGGTTTCCCAATGAGATTATGTTGTCCACCTCAAAAATGTTGGGGCTAAAAAGGTCATAGGCAAAGTATATTTGCATTTTACAACTTTCCTTAAGAAGGTTGCACAGGGCCTGGTTTATTGCTTCTACATCTTAGGGTTGCCTCAAATTCATCTGTGGGAGAATTATGTCTATAAATTTCTTCTCTTGAGAAATATTTAGATATACTTACAACCAATATCCAGTAAAATGATTTCATTAAAATTTACTACAGAGGTTACCAAATGTTAACATTTATTTGGTAAAAAAGATGGTTTTAAAAAAAGTACCTTAATTTAAAAAAATCTGATATACAAAGTGTGACTGAAAGGAGTTAATCAGTTAATGTATAAAATTTTAAAGTTAATTACAGTAAAAAACACAGTGCCACTCTTTTCTCCCAAAATACTCCCCATTGCTTCAAACACACATATCCCATCATTTGTGCCACCTTCCGAAGCAGTTCTAGAAGCTCTTTTGTGAGCACCTTTATATTCGAATAAAGCAAATTCCTAGAAAACAGAATACATTTCTGCTTTTTTCAGATGGCTCCTACTAGGCAGTCATACTGTGAAAGCACTGTCTAGAGTGGCGGCTGAGAGATACACCTAATCAAACAAGAATATCAGCCACCCCAATTAAGTCATGAAAAGATTCTTAAAGTTGTATTTTGGCAAGGGCCTTTCTAGTAAATTAAAAAATGCTAAAGGTGGGGCTGGGGACTTAGCTCAGTGGTTCCGGTACCTGCCTTGCAAGCACAAGGACCTGAGTTCGATCCCTAGTGCCCCCACCCCAAAATGCTAAAGGCACAGCTTTTTAAAGTCTGTTATTACATTTACTCAAAGGATATTACTCTTCACTAGTTCATTTAATGGTCCCCATTTAAAGCCACAGGTGATGTTTCCTTCAAATTAAGTCTAGGAAAAGCTTTACTTCTCCTGAAAGAACTGGGGTTTTGTTGTCATTTTTAAAGAGATAATTTACCTCAGTGCTTCTCAGCAAGGTATTACGGCATTTTGGGCAGAATGATCCTTTCCATATGGAATTGCTGCCCACTCACTCTTCTTACCCCCTGACCAGGACAGTCATTTAGCAACCCTGGCCTCCAGACATTAACGTCAATTGGGCTCTTCTTGTTGTGATCACCCAAACTTTCCACACACACCTCCAAATGCACTAGATGAGTAATCTCTAAACAATCCACCAGAAAACTCGAATTTGTCATGTTAATAAAATATCCAGGTAGAAAATTATGTCCTATATATCTACATTCTTTCTCCTTGTCTTTAATATCCAGTTTAATTTACAGAATATTTTCTCTGGTCTTGCATTTCACTTTATACTCCGGTTTTATTAAGATGATTCATATTCTTTTTTAAACCAAAACTGGTATAAATAAATGATGATAACTTGGGAGTTCAGAGAGATTTTTTTCCCTGCTTCAATCCTAAAAGTAATACTAAGTAAAAACAAAATACCACTATTATATACAGTATGTATTTTTAACTTCCCACAAAGTGATAGTGAAACTATTTCTCAGACTTTAAACTCACAGAGATCAATAAAAAATAATATACCATAGAGAAGAAAATTTTTTAGGTGGGAGCTACAGTGCACCCCTATAATCCTGGCACACTGGGAGGCTGAAGCAGGAGGACTCCAAATTCAAATAACACCTGGGCCACTTAGCAAGATCCTATCTCAAACATTAGCAAACAAGAAATCAAGCAAATAAACAAAGGGGGTGGAAATGTAGTCAGTGGCAGAGCACCTAAGGATTTTATCCACAGTACCCCAAAAAACAAAACAAAACAAGAAAAACCTTTTGATGCAAGTAACTACTAACAAAAAAATACCATATTTGTATAAAGCTTTATTCCCATACTATAGCAATTTTAAGTTGGAAAACACTCACAGAAGTATTAATTACTTATAACATTATAAAAATCCTTTTGTTAAAAATATAAATTTTATATGAAGCCAGTTTCTTTGTATGTCTTCATTTTAGATAAAATTTTTTCTGAAAATCTAATCATGTATCTTTTTCCACGTGAGATGAGCAGAAATTCTGTTTCTGATTTAACTTTACAGTTCCCTCAGATTCTTTTGCATTTGGAGGGAGGCACAGGCACTTTTTTATAGACATTTTGAAATCATCATTCATTTAATCCAAAACACCATGAATGATTACACTTCCCCAAAGGATGTTTTGTGTTTTACAATTACTTGTATGCCAGTTTTAGTAGCTACTTTTGAGGGTATATAGTAGTTAGAAGTTCCTATTGAGCAACTTCTTTGAAAAATGATATAAAAATTAAATATAGGGTAAATAATATTATCCTATATTCTTCTTACCTTAGAACTGCAAACAGCAATGTTAGCAGGAAGCTGGGAAAATTGCTGCAACTCAAATACATCATGTGCCGCCCATCGGCTCATGCAGTTTTCAGCTTTGCTGGATCCAATCACATTCTGGTTTGAGTGAATGTAAGCCACTTCCTGAACACCATCTAGGAGGTAATTAGTGTTTATTAGGTGATATAGCAATATGAAACAATACGGTTTTATGTGTACTTTAAAATCACCAGCACTACATTAAAATAGGTTATCTGTGCTTTAATTCTGATGATCAAGTATTTTTAAAAGGATTTTGTTTGGCAGTACTGGGGATTGAACCCAGGGCCTTGGGCACGAGAGATAAGTGCTCTGCCACTGAACTGTACCTCTACCTTACTGCTTTATTTTTAATCCTCAAATAAAAAATTAATTTTTATGTATCACAATATTCCTAAAAAATGTTGGTCTAGGCTATCTTGGAAATGACTTTTTCCTCTCACTAATATGAGAAGTGCTGATCATGTCAATCATACAAAAACAAAACACGGTTACACAGTATGATTAAAACAGCAAGGTGAGGGCCAGGGATTTAGCTTCAGTGGTTCGGTGGCCTGCCTTGCAAGCACAAGGACCCGAGTTTAATCCCTTGTACCCAAAACAAAAACAAACAAAAAAACAAACCAAAAAACAAAAAAAAACCCCAGCAAGGTGAAAAACACTTTTCTTAAATTTCAAAACACTGGGTAGTATGTATGGTGCCCATTTTCAAAACTCCCAAAAAGATTCTTCTGCTAGGTAACAATCTTTAAATTTAAACCTGAAATGGGGTTTTAGGCACAAGAAAGTCATGGTTGAGAGTCCTATGAATTTATCTACTTTGTTAATAAAAAAAAAAGTTGTTGACTAACTAATGGAGTAATGCTGACCTTATCTGTTTCTTAAACCTGTCCTTGTGTACAGTGGAATGGGAGTGTAGGCTGGTGATCAAGGGGTTCTTTTTGGTTGGCTCTGCTCAGTTTTATTATTTTCATTGTGTGTGTGTGTTTTTTTTAATACATATGCCTAGAGAATGTCAAGATGGGAAATCAAAAAAAATTAGGAAATGAAAAAAAATTAACTCATGGATTTTATCTGAAAGAGAATTTTTAAATGGCTGTATTTTTTTATTGCTTTGCTTTTAGGTACCTATAAATTATTTTTAAATTGTGGTAATAAAAGAGAAGGATAGCCATGAAACCTGTCAAAGCTCCCTCAAACAGTGCTGGTAACGCACCTCAGTCATGAACTCCAGCACTTGGGCTGGTTCAGCTCTGAAGTTCTCTCAACTGGAAAAGGCCAAATATGAAGTACAAGCCACTGCTACATAATGAGATTAAAGAAACAGGAAAACATTTTTCTTAAATTTCAAAACTCCCAAAAGAATTTTTCTGCTGGAAAATTTACTCAGATTTTTCTTTTTTCTTTTCTTTTTTTTTTTTTTGAGACAGGGTTTCATTATATAGTTGAGACTGATCTGGAACTCACTATACAGCCCAGGCTGGTCTCGAACTCACAGTGATCCTCGTGCCACAGCCTCCTGAGTGCTGGGATTATAGGCATGCAGCCACCACGCCTGGCCAGATTTTTCTTAATTTTTATGGCACATTTTATGCATTATTCAAAATAGTGTTAGTTCCAAAACATCGTCACCTTTTGCCAGGGGGGGAAAAACCCAAATCAACTAATTGTTTAAAACATAGTTTGTACAATAATTCCTCAGACCTAAAATCTCACTGTATCACAAGCAAAGGATAACCCAGTCCTTAGTTACAATGGTACCAAAATATGCATCACAATGCACTTTTAATCGAGACTACTGACAATAAAAGCCTGATGTATAAGTAAGTCAGACACAACAATGGAAACAAAAAAAACTCTGCTTTTACATTAGCTTCCTTCAAATAGTCTTTTGGGAATAGGCCAGGCACTGAAAGTATTGCTAACTCTTAAAAATCATTAAACAGGGGCCAGGGATGTAGCTCAGCAGCATCATGTGTCTGCCTGAAAAGCTCAAGATCCCAAGTTCAATCCATGGTACTGGGGAAGGGGGGAAAAAAAAATCACTAGGCAAATTCTAGGCAGAGATCAGTGGCCATGGAAGCAAATTTTTAATCTCTCTGAATATGCACCTCAAAACAGTGCCAGAACAGCAAAACCAAAAATCCATGCACTACATCACAATAAAATTAGATGAGAAGATAACTCCAAGAGCCTTAAAATACAAGCAGGCAGAGACAACTCACCAAGTGGTACAAAGTCTGCATGGTATCAGGGTCTGTGTGAAGGAGAAGGAATTACCAGAATGGCACCTAATGGACCTAAGAACAAGGAACCCTAGGAGAAGGAACTCAGAGGAAATAAGTGTGACAGATATGTCTTAAATGCAATGGAAATTTTAAATAAGCAAAAAGAAGTGAAAAAAGAGATAAAATGGATTTAAGGCAAATTCTGAAGAAAGGTGAAGTATATCAAACACTGAATAACAAGAGTTTCTGAAAATAAAAGCCAAAGCAAAAGAAATGAATAAGTAATAATACCATACTAGAAAGCTTTCCTGAAATGAAAGCCAAGGGGAAAGGACACTGTGTATATGAGAATATCGATCCAAAATAAGCAAGACTATCGCTTCTTGGCCTTTTGGCTAATATCAAGTGCAGAATAACCAAGGCTAAGATATAATCTAGTAGAAATTACAGTGGACCCTTGAGTTACAACTGGCCCAATAAATGAACAACTTGGGTTCCAACTGGAATTTTAGCTTTAAATTATGACCAAAGTCTTGAGTTACAACCCAAATGCTGGCTGCTTGTGCTTCCAGATGGTCTCATATATAGATTTAACCCTTAAAGAGTTCTGGGAGGGACAGTACAACATCCTTTCCTGTATAGGGTTGAGAAATCCTGGCCAATGTCTCCCCAAGGACACTGACAATCATTTTACCACACTGAACAGATAGGTAGGAAGGTAGGAAGGTAGGAAGAGGGAGAGGGCGAGGGCGAGGGCGAGGGAGAGGGAGAGGGAGAGGGAGGCAGATGGACAGAAGCATTAAGCATGAATGGTTGCTAAGATTAAACACATCAGAGCAACATTTTGTATCTCCTATAGTCTTATCTAATACTAGCTTTTGTCTTGCCAAAAGAAATAAATCTAAGTCTGATCTAGTCTTGGAACCTTATTGCTCATTTGCAGATAACAGAGATGACAGAGGAACATGTTCAAGTACACAGAGAATATACAATTGGCAAAATACAAACTGAGGGAAACATTGTAGATGGCCCAAAAAGGGTCAAAAGGTAAACTGTAAATCAATGAATACTCAAGAGGAAGATTTCCATAAATTAAAAAGATTAAAATTTTAAAAAAATGGGATCTGACTAAACTAGGGTTGCACATTTGTATGATAAAATCATTAACAATGTAAACAGGTCACACTATGGAATTTGGAACGAGTGGTATTTATGGGGCAGAAAGGCTATGATTAGGGGATGGCACATGGAGAGAATTCTGGAGTAGACAGCAGGCTCCTCTATCAGGCTCTGCCTGGTCTTCCCTTATCCTCCACCCACCCCTTCCTTATTTGTACCTCAATATAAATTCTTGATTATACAGCTATTTTACAAGCTAATTCAATAATCTTTCACAGACCTATTAAATGCACTATCATTCAGAGTTTTAGAATGTATCTGTAGTTACCTAAAAGCTTATCCATTGATTCATGTATCTGTTGCTGATGGACAACTCCCTCACTTGAAAATTTCATTGGTTTTCTCGGTATGAAAGTGCTATTTTCCCTATCACAGCTAGGTAGTTTTGAAAAGAAACTGCTTCTGTCTTTTATAGTTTTTGTTCTATGATTCTGTTTAGAGAAACAGAGGTGGCGGGCAGATGAATCACCATCTGAGGATGAAAATTCATCAATAAGCTGAGCGTTACAATCTTCATTTGTTAATGGGTTTGTTTTCTTCAATGTTTTGGAAAAACTGTTAAGTTCCTTTTTTTTCTTTTTTCTCTTAAACTTCAATGAACTTTGCCTTCTTACTCTTGACTTGGGGGAAATGTCAATATCATCAGATTCATCACTAATATCACCATTTCCTTCTCTTTTCGTGATAGACTTCAGGGTCATGCCTTCAGGACTTAAGCTTTGTGAAATTAATCCATTTCCTCTCTCAATTTTTCTACAATCATTGTTCTTTCTTATTTTTACAGGGATTTCTGTGTGAGAATATTCAGATCCATTTAAGGGTAGCTTAAGCCTTACACGATTGTTGGGGATCCTCTGAGTTGTGTACTGTGTGGGAAAAATGACATCACTATCTTCTGATTCTGTGCCATTCTGTAAAATGCAATGATGTCCAGCTGTAGTTTTAACATTTTTCTCATCATCAGACTCAGAAGAAACATTCTGTCTTAAAATCTCTGTTTTATCAAAAACACATTTTTCATTGGGACTTGGTGTGCTATCTGGTTGCTGATGTTCTGAAGTACCAACAATATCCTGAGTCTGCTGACAACCAGTATCTCTGGCTTCTGTGGTGAGGCTTGTGGGCTGCTCATCCAAACTGTCCTTGCCAGAGGCAGAGTGTCCACTGCTCCCCTCAACTGCTTTACATGTTGCCTCAAATAATTTAGAAAAACCACAATGGAATAAGGTAAGCTGTCCCGAAGAAGCTGAAGCTTTGTTTGAGTCAGATGCTCTGTGTGTTGTGGTCTTTATTCTTGGTGTTTCCATAGATTCATCATCACTAAGGTCGCTGCAGAGATAACTCCCTGCTATTGGTCCTTGCTGTCCTCTGGGTTCTTGACAGCCAGACTCTTTGGGCTATATAAGAAGAAGCAATGACAGAAAGAGAAGAAAACATCATGATAATGTTACTGACTATCATACTGGAAGGAAATTGATTTTGGTCAGACAGTTTAGATACAAGGACTCAGTGGTTTCTAAAAGTACATTTATAATGAATGTAAAGGAATTAATATTAGAATCTGGTACAGTCATGTCTCTTTCCAAAATAAATAAAAGTTCAATCTAGAATACTGCATGATCAAATCATTTTCAAGGATTTCATTACCAGCTTGTAAGATGCAGAGACCCACAATTCTAGCCTTAGAAGTGAAAAGCTTTCTACTCAAACTTTGAAGTAAAATTTGCTATATATTTAAGACCAATGTTTAATTTTTTCACATTCATTGGAGTAAAATATATCCTTCAGTTCCCTATAATTGAGGCTTTAGTAGTAAAAAAATAAAACAACAACAACAACAAAAAACTTTGGAAAAGTGTTATCTTGTGATATTTCTGCCAACATTTGATATTCATATTTCTATAAATTTAAAAAATGTTCACTTCAATTCAAGATCATTGGGTTGATTTAACTTATAGTTAAATTTCTGTTATGGCTTGCATTTAGATGCACCCCCGCCAAGCCTCATAGGTGGCGTTTTTTCAGAGGCAGCTAGATCTAGGTTGTGTGATGATGGGATTGAGGGTGCCCTGCCCTGGGCATGAGTGCTACCCGTCCTTAGGGTAAAATCTAAGGGTCAAAGAGGGGGTTGCTGTGGTCACTTGTAGCTTGCTGCTGCTGCTGTTTGTCTTTCTGCCTCCTGCCTGCTCTGCAAGGCCCCACACTGCCATGTCAACCTTCCTTGAAGCCAGCTGATTATAAACTAAAATGCCTACAAACAGTGATCTAAAATGAACCTTTCCTCTCTTAACCTCAGTCGTTGGGTTTTTTGTTGCAGCAATGAAAAAAGTAACTAAACCAATCTCTTCACAAAGAAAAAACTGGTAATAATAACAAAAGCCTTCCACATGTTTTTTTACCTCTAAAACAACCTTAGGATGAAAATATACATTTTGTGCTATGTAAGATGAGCAACTACTGAATATTATAAAATCAAGGACTCAAATGAAATACAACATCTGAAATACAACAATGGCTAGTTTTCCATTTAATTTGCTTTGTAGTAAAAAGTTATTTATTTGGGTTGGGCTGGTCACCTACATAGTGTGTTTAATTTTTGATTTTTGAATTTGATGCAGTTAAAACTGCAGTTAAGATGCAAATGCCTAATGGCTGCCTCTGAATTTGTTCTTACAATATGGATATTAAATTAGCATAAATTATTAATAAGAGGACACAAAGTGAGGATACTTTGAGTTTTTAAAAGGACTTTAAGGGCTGGGGCTTTAGCTCAGTGATTCCACCGCCTGCCTTGCAAGCACCAAGGCCTGGAGTTCAATCCCCGGTACCAAGAAAAAAAAAAAAAGGACTTTAAAAAAAAAAAAAAAAAGACTTTCTTTTACACATAAGAAATGGAAGAAAACAGAAAAGAAACTTAGAATTATCAAAATAGAGGTTTTCCAGGCATGATGAGCTACACACCCAAACGTGACTTACTGTTTCTAGTTCTTGTGCTGGGGGTCCTTCTTTCAACCATGTTGTGGCTGTCATGATCCCTGCTTCTACTTGGCCTTCTCTCTATATCAGCAAAAAAATAAAAAATAAAAAATAAAAAAAAAGCAAATAACTGTGTAAAATGGATAAGAGAGATTAAAAACAACAGCAATGACACGTTAAATCTTGGTGCTATAAAAGGAAAACAGTGCAGCTTGCTTTAGCATTCTTAATATTATTTTTCAATTTGCGACTTAAGGAACTCATATACAGTTTTATTCTTAATTCTTGTCTTAAAATTTACCTTTTCAGACATAGAAAACTAATAATACTTTCTATTAAAAGCACTAGAAGAAGAGGCAGAGGAGTGAAAAAATGTCATTTACCCAAAAATTGTATCCATATTAATCATTCTTATGTAATAAGTATGGTAGGACATATTAGAAACATTTCAAATACCAGAGACAATGCTAAACACTGAAAAACTGAAATGTAACCTAATCACAGGAATATTTACCTTTCATATTTGTTAAAAAATATTTAAGAATCCCTCAACAGACACAAAAAATGAAAAGGTGTGTCCTAATGTGAAACTAAAAACATTACCTTAATTTTATAACAGGCTTGCTATAACTTTTGGGAAAGTATTTGCACTTCCAAGCCTTTGGTACACATAGCTTAAATATTAGGATATTAAATTTTCCTTCAAAAGGAAATCCTGTCTTTCTCTTTCTAATGCTGTATCTGCCAATACCAATAGAAAAATAGGAAATAATACTGTCATCACCAAAGTTATAAGTGCCTAACTTATGTATACACAGACACACCGACAGACTGTTCCAGCCACCTGGTATCCAGGGTAACAAGCAAGTGTCTCCTACAAATCTCCAGAGAATAGGTCCGTTGACATGTTTGGGGGCTCTTACTGTGAGGAGATGGGAGCCTCATCCTAGCATGGCCACTTTCCTCTTCAAATGGCAATAACAGGGGCAACAGGCAGCACTAGAAATCATCCACTTTGGAGAACTCCTTTGTGGTGGGTAAATGACAACTTCAGTTGCTCACTATAACTACCTTGGTGCAATTCATAACTCTTTGTTTTCTCTCATACCCTGTATATGATTCATCAGCAAATCCCAATTTCATGCAATCTGCCACCATCACCCAGGTCCAAGCTATCATCATCACTGCAGTTTCCTCCTAAATGGCTTCTTGCTTCTGTCCTCTGGGAATCAAATTCTACTAGACTTTTATAGTCTAATTCTCAATAATATATAATATATAAATGAAGTTACATCTTTCCTTTGTAACCATCCAGTTGCTTTTGTTTCTTTCAAAGCAAAAATCAAAATTCCAGCATGGCCCAGCTCTCTCCATCTCTCTCACCTCATCTCTTGTTCTTATTTGCCCCCTCCATTGGCTTTCCAATTCAGAATCAAACATTGTACTTAGTACAAAATAAAAACTCAGCAGCAGACACCACATACCGTATAACAGTTCAAATGTTTCCAGGATACATATAATGTACAACTTCTTCTTTCTTATCAGTTGGTGGAACTACTACTAAACTTGCTTGGCATAACATTCCTAATATTGTTTGTTCACTACGTAAATATCTTATTTCACCTTCCACCAAGATAGTGTAAGTTCTTCAAATACAAGAATCAATTTTTTCTTAAAATTTCTGTATGATGCTTATTAATTAAATGAAATACATTCAGATTTTACTACAAAGTTCTGGAAGTCAAGGGAAATAGGCTGATACTCTAACAGATTCAGTTTTCTCATCTACATTAGAAGGAAATTGAAAGGAGGCTTATTCTAGGATTTTATGAAATCCATATTAATGTCAATTAGAAAGACAGGTTAATATCCTTAGTACTCGTATATTAAAGAATTAGAAGATTTTCAGAAAGATATTAATATTTCATTTGAAGAATAAGAAACATCTGAATGTTGAGGATGAACACAATGGAAGAGTGTGAAATATTAGTGTGGAATTTTTATTGAGAACAGAAAACAAATATCTCTATGAGACATGAGAGTACATCTTAGGGAGTATTTGGTAACTTTTAATCAAAACATTATTGTTTATTTAGGAATTTTTTTTTTTTAGTTCTTGACTTTAACAGCTGTTTTCAAAATAATAAACTTCCCTTTCCAAGTCTGAAAATGGCCTTGGAGATAGATTATCTCATACATGTATCTGTATGCATGTGTGCATTATTTATAACTATGTATAGGAGAAGGTTAGTTTAGAGGTACAATGACTCATTTGCTATTTCTCTAAAAGTAAAAAGTCTAGGCACAGGCATTTTTGATAAAGAAAACTAAAAATTTATCTGAAAAGGCACCAACAATTGTGTTTCAAGGTTTTGGAGGGATAAAACTGATTTTAAAACACTTATTGAAAAGGTCAGAGAACAATTTCACACCTCCAAGATGTCCCTTGTAAGACAAGACCCTTGGGATCTTAGTGTAAAGAGGTTATAGATCCCAAAAAGCTCTCCTCGATGCTCTTTTGATCCTTGAACTGCTTCAAAGTATCGCTTGGCATTTTCACTTCCAACCACCACACAGTGAAGTTGCTAAAACAGAAAAAACACAAGTTATTTTTGAAGTGTTTGTTCCAACAATATGTCAGAATTTCCTGGCATTCCCTGTATATACACAGCTTTAGCTGGAGCAGGCTGCGATCTCCTTAGGGAGGAAATTTTGTTTTAACTTCCCTGGCAGATGTTGCCATTATGGTGAAATGTAACAATAATCTGGCCAGTCTTACTAAAGCAGAGATCTTATACTTCCTGTTTTATCTGTTTTCTAACAACTAAGTCAAGGTTACATTTCCATAGAATATCCACTTGACAAAATGTTTAATAATAAAAGTGTATACTTGAATACACTTTTCTTAAAATCATTGAAATAGAAACTTAAAAATGGAATAAATAATCACTATAACAGTAAACTTAAATTATACTTCAAAGTAAGTACTGTATGATAACCACATTGATGTCAAACTAATTGTACCTGATTACACTGTTACTTAACAGCAAACGCCCTATATGCAGAAATGTTGCATCTTTGAAACAATTTTGAGTATGAGAAAGAACAATGACATGGGACCCTTAAGGACATGTGCCATCTTAGTGTCAACATTAATATGTACCCTATTTGCTGGATATTTTACTAGATGTAAATATGTAAAATTAAAACACAATCTGATTACCCCCCAATACTTTAAAATGTCTGCAAGAAAAAATGCACAGAATGGAAAATAACTTTAATCTATTGTCAATGAAAGTAGTTAAAAAGAGACACTTATAGTTTTGATTATCATCAGTTTATATGCACTGTAATAAGTTACTCTAAGGAACTAAAATTTGTGTGTGTGTGTTTGTGTCTGTATGTTCCAAGAGATTGACCCCAGGGCCTCATACATGCTAAGCAAGCACTGTAGGTAACTACATTGCCAGTCTTTAAATTCTTATTAATAGCTGTCATTTATGAAATGTTACATGTGTAAGATTTTATTTACATTTTCTCAAATCCTGTAGCTTTACAAGATATGATCTCCATTTCATAAATAATAAAACTGGAATTTGTCCATTTTAGAAATAAAAAAACAACTTAAAAAAATGACCTGCCTAACTGTGCCAGCTAAGAAGTGCCAATTCTAAAATTTGTAGTTGGGTTTGGCTGAATCAAAAACATTCTCTTAACAATTTCTCACCTACAGGATAGCTCTCTTAAAAGAAGACTGTTAGGAGCTTAGTTTGAAAAATTTATGTATCAACATAGCAACTTGACCAGTTCAGTATCAATGTTCCCAAGAACATGTGCTTTAATCCTGGGAATATGAGAACACAACTGCAAATGATGGCCCAGTTTTCTATTTCACTCTTGCTACTGACTGCCTTCAACACTGATATTGTTAGACTGTAGGTCTACTTACAATAATTACCAAGGTAATTTGTAAGCCTTAGTGTGATGTTATAAATTTCCTAACAAAATTTCATCACAACATTTATATATATATATAAAAGCACATTATTTTGTATTAAAACTGTTTTCCAAAGTGGCTTCAGCAAAAGTGAGAAGCAAGTGCTTTTATCAGTAGGCTAGTCATGTTTGAATTCAAATGGGTAGAGGAAGATAAATAAGCAACTGGAAAATGCAGCTTAGTTTCTAGCTAAAAAACAAAACAACAACAACAACAAAAAACTACACAAAGCCACTAGAAAAGATATAGAAGAAAAAGAAATAAAAAGAAAATAGTGTTCATCTTGTTAAGAAGTTCAAAGCCCCTTCTTCCACCTTGAATGCCAATACTATGACATCTGCTCTTCCTTCTGTCAGATCCTCTGCTTCTGCCTTTATATCTTCATCTCTGCTTTCTCTGACCTTACTATCTCTTCTTTATATGGACCTTTGGCCCACCCAGATAATATATATGGCTGAGGTATCCATATGCACACATCTTTGGAAGACCATTATCCAGCCTACCACAGTAAAGAAGTGCAAATAAAATGATGGGTCATGTCAGAACCACACAGCCATTTTGAAAGGTTTCCCACTGGCCAAGTGAGACAATCTGAACTCAAAATTAATAGTGATATCCAACAGTTTATAATTTGTTACTAAAATAGGAACCCAGGAGCCCATGCAGATTAACTAGAATGGAAAACTTTTTTTTTTCTTTTTTGGTGGTAGAATACCAATGAAGAAAAAGGAAATAATGGAAATAGAAAAATCATCACGATGATAGTTAACTCAGACAGGAATTGTTATGGCATGTATCCAGAAGTACCTCTCAAAGACTCAAGAAATCACAGGTATAGTTTTTGAAGGTGGATGGAGCTAGAGTGTGTGATAACTAACTGAGTTAGCAAAGTTCTGGGTATAGATAATGGAAGCCCTACCCTTGGTGTGGGTGACACCAGGCTTAAGGCCTAGATGAAAGGAGAGGAGACAGAGAGAGAGGGAAAGCAGGCTGGCTGCTGCTTCTCTGTTGATGCTGCCTTCTGCCTGCCATGACATGAACTGTTCTCACCTGTGATGCCCTTTTGCCATGCCACCCTGTCTAGGAGCCAGCCAACTATGGACTGAGGCCCTACAGTCTGTGAGCTGAAATAAACATGTCCTCCTTTAACTTGTGGGTGTCCGGTATTTTGTCCCAGAAATGAAAAAAGGAACTAAGCAGAATCATCAGTGAATGCTAAGGATAGCTACAAAGTTGATGAGAAATAAGATATTGGCATTGTCTTGGAGGATCTCCCATAAATTGCTTATCAATTGCAAAGTGAAAAAATGGCAATATTGCCTGTAAGTCACCATACTGTGAGTTCTCATGGACCCCGTGAGAAGAGTATGGCTTTGTGCCCTGCATCTGCACATGAGGTTAA